CCTTTGGAATGGGGGTCCTTCTTGTGTAAGCCTGCAATAACCCATACCTGCCTAAGTGTCCGAAAGGGGGTTGTTAAAGGGAATTGTTGGACTGGTTGAATAGGTGAGGTCCTGAGGTCTGAGCTTAATGGATTTGGTAACACCAGGGCTACCAGTATGTGTACTCATGAAACTTCATCAGCTTCAGCACTAGTACTGATCCAATTCACAAGAACAAGCTGACCGAGAATGGAAAAAGTCCCTTGATGTTGTTCTCGCCTCTCCCTCTTTACCCAGCATGCATCAGAGCAGACTTGTCCATTCTTAGATTGACAGCTGTCCCAGCATGCACTGCAGCAGCAGCAGGTTTCAATGGAGCTCTCACAGAGCTCAGAGTATTAAGTTAAAAGTTCCCTTTTCTGTTGCCGTTGTTCTATAAAAGTAAATGTTAAGATTATTTGAGGTGAGAATATTGTACTTTAAAGTTGGGAGGACTGCGAAAACCAGCGAACCACCGAGGCTAACGGCAGCCAGGGCTAACGTTAGCCCGTCTGCAGCAGCCCTCTCTTGGCATATCATGCATAAAGGACCGCTGGCTATGCTGGAGAGTTTTTTGTTTTATTTGGCAAAATGTTCATTTGATTTTCATTTATCTGACTTTGTTAATTAATATTCCCCCACTTAATGAAAAAAGTGAGAATTTATTATCTATAACAGGAGGTGAAATGCAGCTCCAGAGGAGCCGATGCGTGTGGTGATGTCATCAGTACGCTTCTGTTCCAATTGACCCATATTTATTCTGGGTGCTCCCGTTCTCCCAGAGTCCAGACTGTCCTTTGCTCTTCTTTCTTACTTGGCGAGGACACGAGTCCGTACTCGTGTTCTAGTGAATTGAGAAACGGCCCATAGCTCCTTGTCACATGACTTCAAACTACAGTTCCCATCAGAATGTCATTGTTGTTATAGTAACCGCAAGCAAATCTTTATATATTTTGCAGCTGCCAATTTTTGGGAAATAACTATTCATATTCATATACTCCATTCTTCTCTTAATAAAATAAATAAAATAAATAACTTTTATTCTTCTCCTCCCTAAACATTTATATAAATATATTTATATTATTTAGATTTAAATATAAATGTATTTAAATACATAAATACCTATGACCTTTAAGAAAATGAACATTTTGTAGATTGTAAATTATTGTCCACTAATTGACAGCATCTTTTGTAATTCTCATACGAGGCACATTTTAACGGTTAGTTTTGGGAGGGTGACTTTGTTTAGACTCTTTGAAATGGCAGATGTATGTTGTGCAACAAATTTATCATGTTTAAATATCTTACTGAACAGCCAAGCATCCATGAGAAAAACTCAAGTTCGATCCCGTGTGATATCAGGCTATCGGCTCCATCAGACTTCTCTTTTTTGATACATAGAGAACAGTGCACTGAAGAAAAAAGTGAAATCTAGATAAGTCATTTTCTCTTAGAATAAGTGCATTTGTTCTTGGATTGAGGAGGTAAAAGAGATTTTGCCAGTGGAACAAGACAATTTACATTTAAAATAGGAAAACCCAATTGCATTGTCTTATTTCAAGCGCATATTATCTAATTATCTTGTTTTAAGAGTAAAAATACTCATTCCTTTGGCAAACTATCTCATTTAACTACTCAAATTAAGGATAAATACACTTAATTTAAGAAATTTTCACTTATTTCTAGATCGTTTTTCCACTGTGAACCTAAATCTGAGGTTACGCCATCAGTATCCAATTGAGCAATTATTGTATTAAAAATAATAAACAGAAGACCTAATATCCAATATTTGGTCTAAAAGTAAATGTTCCTCAGATGTTTCATAAAAGTCTGTTTTTCATGTACTATATATACTTAGACAACTTTATTGTCATTTTGTATCCACAGAGTGTATGCAAAACCCAATTTCTTTTTGTGCAGCTCTCATGACATTTCCATTTCTTAAAGTGCAGCAGTGCTCAGTTGTAAATAGGTGCGTTATCATTGCTGGTTAATTAACTACTCTTCTTACAAGTAGCATCTAAATTCCCTTATCTGCCTTTTAGCAATTGTGCCAGCGCTGTGTAATCTGTGTTGTGAACAAACAGGGTGACGGAGGTGCTGCTGCTGTATGAGAGTGTTCTGTTCTGGCTGGAAATTACCATTCATGCTGAACAGCAGACATCTCTTTTTGTTTATTTAAACAAATTGAACTTTATCTCTGGTTATATGCAGAAATGTCCCGTTGTAGAAGCACAGCCTGTAGAAGCATGAATAAATATTGAAACTTAAGATGATAATGTGTTTTTTTTCCATCCCCTCGGACCAAAGGCGTCTAGTACTTTGTTAATTCTTTGAGGATTTGTACTTTACTGAGTGATTTTAAATGCACCATATTTGTCTCTGCAATGCTCCGAACTTCCATATCATTGCGTTTTGCACAATGTTTTTCTCCCACGCTGTTTACATACGATCACTGCTTCACTTTATGAAATGGAAGTGTTCATTTCACTGCTAGGCTGCTGCTCATTTACTGTCTGAAAGCTGTACAAAACGAAATGTTATTATGTATACACTGTGTATACAAAATGACAATAAAAGTTGTCTATGTCCAAATATAGGCTTTTACCTTTATTTGGAAATATTTGAGATATAAAAGTAGTTTATTAGTTCTTTACTTAAAAATCTGAGAAATGCTTACTGGCTACAAATTAAAATATGATCAGATTTTATTATGAAGGATTTTTCTTCTGTAGAATCACCCTGGGAACGAGAATAGAAGAATTCCGCACTGTTTGTGCTCTTTTACGCAGTTTTAAAAACAGAAATGTTGATTTTTTTTTTACTTCTCCAGAGGAGTAAGAAAGTGATCTACAAGCTTGAGTTACAGCTCAACATCCTGTTTTTGTCATGATCTTATCTAAAGCTCAGACCCACATGCAGAAAAACAAATTGAGAGAGACCAGGGAAAAGGTTTAACAGGTTTTATTGAAGAAGTTAAACAGAGGGAGAAAAGTGTTGCTCCGAACACTGCTCAACCGGAACTGAAAAGTGAGGGGAAGACACAGCAGTTAGTTCAGGCTCAGTGGGGAAATTGACTCGTGAGCTTGGAGAAGAGGATTTGGTTGCCGACTTACGTTTCCAGAGAAGTTGTTGAATCCT